ACTGGTATGTGGAATTTAAGAAACAAAACAGAGGATCATAGGGAAGAGAGGAAAAAATAAAACAAGACGAAACCAGAGAGGGAGACAAACCATAAGAACTCTTAATCATAGGAAACAAACTGAGGGCTGCTGGATGGGAGGTGGGTGGGGGGATGGGGTAACTGGGTGATAGACATTAAGGAGGGCATGGGATGTAATGAGCACTGGGTGTTATATACAACTGATGAATCTATTAGTTTCAGAATACATCTGAAACTAATAAGACACTATATGTTAATTAATTGAATTTAAATAAAAAGATACATATTTAAAAAACTGGAAAAAAATAATGTGGTTAGTTGAATAGTAGTGTCAAGTAACTCAGAATCCATGGGTGACTAAAGTATTTACTGTCATTTTTAAGTACAGTGAAAAGCCTACAGAAACAAATGAACCAAACTAAACCTTTCTGTGTAGAACTTGAACACTTCTTTCAGCTTTCTCCTGATTCTCCACTCAAACGAACACTTTGCCTTCACACTTTGAACCCAGTTCAGCCAGCTTTCCTTTCCACACAGAGAGTGGCTCCAAGGGCGAGGTCCTCCATAGTGCTTCATTTAGCAAGCCCAGTCCTCGGGCTGTGACTTTCTCTGTGGTCACACTGGCCCCCGTTCATCATGACCTCATGGTTCACGGGTTCTGTGTTTTGCCAGGGCATCGCCCTGCCAGGCCTGAGGGTTGACTGTTTACGTTGGTGGCACCTGCCCTGCTCATCTGCCAAGACCCGACACTTCTTGTATACTTGCCCCTGCCCCCACATTCCTGTGTCGCATCGGCTCATGTCGCCTGAAATCAATATATATGGATACGGGAGAGTAATGGTCCCTCTTGGCTGCATTGGAACAAGAACTGAGAATTTCAGAAATGGAGAAAAATACGTATCAGAGATGAAGTGTAAGTGAAAAGAGAATAAGCTTTGGGAGAAAGTGTCTAAGCCTCAGATTCCTTCTCTGTAAAATGAGAATAATAGTACCTTCCTTGAGAATTACCATAAGGATTAGAGTTATATATGTAAAATGCCCAGCTTGTTCCTGTGACAGAGTGTAGTCCATAAATGGTAGAGAATAAAATAAAAGATATTTTCTTCATTTTCCATAATATTTTAAATGTAGGCAGCAATCCCAAGGAAAATGAAAATATAGGTCCACACAAAAACTCGCCATGAATGTTCATAACAGCAGTGTTCATGATAAATAAAAAGTAAAACCAGCCCAATGTCCTTTAAATAATGGATGGATAAACACACTGTGGTGTATCCATACCATGGAGTATTATTCGGACATAAAAATAAAGGAATTGCTGATACATGCTGCAACATGAACCCTGAAAACATGCTGACTGAAAACAGTCAGACATGGAAGGCCACAATGGTATGATTTCATTTATATGCAATGTCCAGAAAAGGCAAATTCATAGAGACAAGAAGTGGAACCGTGGTTAGCAGGAGCTGGAGCGGGGAAGAATGCAAAGTGATTTCTTTTGGGGGTGATGAAAATGCTCTGAAATTAGATCATGGCAATGGTTGTGCAACTCTGTGAATATACTAAAAACCACTCACTTGCATGCTTTAACTGGGTGAATGCTAGATATGTGAATTATATCTCAGTAAAGTTATTATTTTTAAAAAATTGGGCAATAAGTATGCCTTCGTTGCTATGCAAAGAGAGGTTCTGTGTGGTGTTTGCGTGAAGTGCACCCTTATGCTCCCTCCATGGTGGCTGTAGGCTTGCTTTTGCTGTTTTCTGCTTCTATTGCTATTTGACTCAGAGAATTATTTAGACCTTGCCCAACCTGTGCATGTTTGTCTTTCCTTTTTCATTGAAAATACTTTCATTGTTTGTGAAAGCAAGGGAGTGACATTGCTATCCTCCCAGCCATATCTGAAATATTTAATTACTGAACTATGTGCCCCAAGTGTGAACAGGTGGATGGACTGTGGGCTATTAAGAGCTGACATAATGTGGCCTTTGTGCCAGGTCCCTGGTTTCCAGAGATCCCTCATCAGGCTGGAATGTGTTCACAGCATTTCAGCCTAACAGTTCTTATAGGATATTAACAGACCTTTATCTCTAAAACCTGGATATCTGCCTTCTCTTGAAACAATAGAAAATCTAGCCTTTCTGGACATAACATTCTAACATGGCAACAATCTGATGGAGCCTGCAGGTGTCCCTTCTCATACATACATGGTCCCTTTCACTCCTTGATGCTATCTGTGCTCGGCCTTTGTAGGCATTTGGGTTGGATTGGGGAAAGTTTTCTCGAATTCTTCATTCATTCATTTATTCACCAGGCCCATGGTTAGTGCCTGTTTTACACAGTCAACTCTCTTAGATGCTGGGATGCTCCTATCCTCAGGGAAGAGAATCTGGTAAATGGAGAGACAGAGAACCAGTTAATTACAATGCAGGAGTGAGTGCAATGCTGGAAGTATGGGTAGAGAATCGATATGTAATTACAGATTTCAGGCATCCCATCCAGCCTGAGGTGTTTGGGGGGTGGAGAGCTTTAGGGCTCCTGGAGAATGTGTCCCTAGATCCTGTGTGTCTTCTCTTCAGTATCAGGACTCTAGTTGTTGACTATGTGGGAATATATTCCACTGGTAATTCCATTTCTTTAGGACACATCCACATAACAAAAAACTCAACAGATCTGGAAAATCCAGCAAAGAAGAGAAAAAAGGAAATGAGGAGTGGGTGAAAAAGAGCAGGGAGAAGAAAAAACAAAGGGCAAAGGGGAAGAAACACAGGAAAAAGAGTATTTACACAAACGAGAAACATATTTATCTTGTCTCAGATACTGCCACTGATATTTGCACAGAATTCCAAGAGTTTTGAGTCCAAGGAAAATGATGCTGAAGCGAACCTCAACAAAGCTTGGTGACAGATGTTAGCTGCACTTGTGGTGAGCACAGCGTAACATGTAGAGTTGTTGAATCACTGTGTCGTACACCTGGAACCAATGTAACATTGTGTGCCAACTCTACTTCAATTAAGAACAAAAGCTCATAGGGAACTAACAGATCTTCCCATTTTCTTGCTTTGTTTCCTGCTGGGACAAGTCCATCCTTTCATTTGGAAATGATCACTCTGGTCCTATTGATTAATGTCCTTGACAAGACGAGAATTCCTTCCAATCCGACAGGTGCACTTCCACTCTCTGTGGGTGAGCATGGTGGGGGAGTTTGCACTAGGGTTGGGATGGGGCATCCGAGGCCTGAAAGGAAATGTCTAGGCTCTAAGATCCACCATTTGCATGACTTAAGCATGTCATAGCCTTTCTCTTTTATATGATGGAGAGATAAAAATAATGCTACCTGGGCTAATTATAGGGCTCAACATCGGATAGTGCATGACACACAGGTGAGGGGTTCTTGACATTGAGAGAGGCAAACCATACCTCAGAATCAAAAGTGTCAAGGAATGGCTCTTCTGTAATGTTTAATTAAGTTCCTCTTCACTTTAATACGATGGCATTGGGCTTTTGAATTAACTTTTAACTGGTCAATTGGCAATTTTTACCATTTCTCTTTCCTACCGTTAGGAATGAAATTGATTCATTGATTGATTTCATTTCCAGAAACAGATTTTTTTTTTTAAATCACTCTTACCCAGTCTTCAGGTGTGTAATGCCTATGATTGTTTCTGGGATTAAAATGGGACTTACCGAGGAGGGCTTTTGAGGGAGTAGAAACATTTATTTTGTTGGTGAGGAGGGTTTCGTGAGAAGTGAGTTTTCCTGATTTCTTAGTTCATTAGGAAGAATCGCTACTGATTGATTTGGTGAGACCTAGGAAAAGGCTTTTGTTGGGAGAAATCCCCAGCCCCCCAGTCCATGTCCATATCCTTAACCGTATCCAGATCTAGTTCTCACTCAGCAGACAGATTCTAGATCTTTAAACAACTCTACACAGTAACCAAGAAGCAAGAATCCATCAGCATATTTTGCCAAGTGGCTAAGCATATCTCTTTTCCTTGGCAGAACAGTTGCTGGTGAGGCTTTCCTGAGAGCAGAGACCGAGGTGGTAGGACTTGATGACATGAGCTTTCTTGAAAAAAATTTCATTAGTTGCTTCAAAAAGGGAACCTTATTTTTAGGTGGGAGCTCTTTATGTTCTACACTGGTGAGTCTTTCCTTGAGGCAGTTAAGAGGGTAGTTCGGTTTTTGAAGTCCCAAGTTGGAAAATTCACTTTTGCCAACTAATTAGTCATGGCGTGAATCATTGAGCTGATGACTAACCTTGTTGTTCATTCCATCACCTTTCCCGTGAGCCTCTGGGGTTTGTATTTTGCAGGTTCTGGGGCAGCAAAGAGCAGGCACTGCTCAGCGTTGCCTTCATCCTGGCCACTGATTGCAGTCCTGTTGTTCTATCTCATCAAAAGTGTAGGCTTTCTGGGGTGGCAGGGAAGCTGAGAACAATCCCTGAGGGTCAGTGCAGATGGAAGTAATCAGGAGTACCTGTCCTCAACATCTGTGTTTCACCTGCTGAGAGAGCCAATCTGCATCTTTACCACGGCTCAGGTGGCCCCACGCTCACCGATGTTGAGTTTGGCCCTCACAAGCTCAGAAGGACTTGTGGTAAAAATAAGTGAGTCAGTTCTAATTATTTAAAGTTGGCTGTTAGTGTAAGAGCCAAGACTGAGGAATGAAAACTGACCTTCTGGAACAAGGAGAAATGTCAGTGTGGGTAGGCATTGCCAGAGAAATCGCAATGTTGCTTTTTTGGCACAGCCAAGTAGTAAAATTGTATCATCCTGCGGACATGTTTATTTATTAGTCTGCTCTATGAGCTCTCACTTTTCCCTGTTAACAGTGACAATGCACTTGCTGGCCCAGGGAACTTCCTTCACCAAGGAGATGCCCTGCACTCTGCTGCTGATTGCATTTGCAGTATGTTTATCTTTGTCCTAATGTGACTTTGAATCTGAGACTCACGGGCCTTTGCTGATGACATAGCTAGAGGAGAGAGACGGGACCTAGAAGCAGAGTCCGAGAGAAAGTGGATGGGCAGGCAGCATTATGGTGAGTAATGGCCCAAACTTTCCTCTGAGGCCAAGTGGATGTCGCACTTGTGTCTAGCAGCTCTTCCATTTCAAATACTAGCTCCACAGCCAGCCAGCAAGGACGGATGCACAGAGAGGGGACTGATCACGAGCACTGTGGGCATATTGGGGCAACAGCTCTGCCAAAGGTGGAGGGAGACCTCCTGGTGGCCTGGTGCTTTTTAGAGGTGAAGGGAAGCCACTGTCGCATCACGGCCTTAAAAGAAGATTAATTATGTGAGGACTGGCTTGGCTCAAGAGCTGAGCGCACCTTGCTGTCTTATCCGGAGCCAGAGAGCCCCAGGGAAGCGAGGGAGGGGCTTGTTGGTTTAAGCCTCAGCTGGGAGTGTTGTGGCAAAAATCAACAGGCTTTGCTTCCAGGGAGCGTGTTCTTCCAGCTAGTGCCTGCTTGTGTTTCCATGAGTTTGACTAGCCACTACCAGTCCATGCAGATCACCTCTGCAGACGACTCTTCACATCATTTGTTTTCTTCAAGGACCCCCTGAGCGATGTCTGTTACCTTGCCGGGTGCCTTTCCCTGTCTGATGGGAGAAGCGAGCCGACCCGAGGCTCTTTTTCTATGGGACTGGAAAGAGCTTTTGGTTGGGAGAGATGCCTCGACTTCCCCTGAAGGGGGTCACACATTCTGACTCCTCAGCTTCTTAGCTTGATGGAAAAATCCTCATGGGCTGCAGCGTTGTCTGTGTCTAGTTCCTTGCGGAGACTCTCAGCAGGACAGGCACCACACTGTTGCATTGTGCTGCAGGGCTCTGAAAATAGAGCTGCTGACTCAAGCCTCCTGTTTCCTCCCGGGACCTCACAGCTGGGCCTTTGCTATCTCTCTGTCCAACCCTCCGACTAGACCAGCGCCCGCGGGCTTTTGTGATTGAGTATTCGAACAGAAACACTTTTTTTTTTTGGTCAGAGGGATGGAAAAGGCAGCAGTTAGAAGTGTCTACCTGGATTTCTGTTTATTTGCCTGGGCCAGGGGAGTGGAGGGGCAGGACACTTGGTCTGAAGGGGAAGAATGCAAGTCTTCCTCAGTGGGCTGGAGGGGTCAGCACGGCTCTCCCTCCGGGACAGTGTGGGAGATTGACCCCGCACATCAAACACCGGTGTCCGTGGACCTCCAACCACAGCTGGAGGATTTGTGCATTTCCCAGGAAGCCTGAGAACAAAGAGCATCTTAACAATTTGGGGAAGTAATGGAATAGGAAACTGTTTTCACTCCATAAGGAGAGTATTTTAAATCTGTGCTTCTGTTTTTAATTAGACACCTCTGTCTTTGCGTACATGCAAGCAGCTCATTTCTGAGGATGTTTGTGAATAGTGGATCCTTAGGCAGACTTTGGAGTTGTTTAGTCTGGACAGCAGGAAAATAAATTTCGTACAGTGAGACCGACTTTGTTAAAATGATGAGGAAAGGCATCGATGCAGGGAGGGCAAAGAGAATGTAAGTCCTGTGTAATGAAGAACCAGAAACCAAGGAAAGAAGTAGATGTTGTAGGAATTCTCCTACACTTTATAGTATTTTGGGAATAATGTAGAATTCCCATAATTTTTAGCTAATACTGCAGTCAAGATATTTTTTATTTTGTTTTGTTTTAATTTACTTGTGCTCATACTCATGGGCATCAAGCTGATTCTCAGTTTCAGGAATTGCTCTATATATGCTTCCTACAGTGAGATGAGTGGTTTGACTCTCAAAGTGCCCTTCATGGCTACTTCACTGGACATGGGTGGCTGGTGGCCATGAGTCACAGTGGATGCGATTGTCACTAACATTCTTCACTTCTCAGTATAATCACAAGCTAGATGGAGCCCGTGACCCTCTCTCACATTGCTTTCTGGCCCACTTTCCTGCCTCCTTATGTTACCCCATTTTTGTCCATAGGTGCTCACCTGGTGTCCCTCAACACCAGCTGCACACTATTACCCTTTCTCTCCCCAGGTAGAGGAATTTCTGGGTGGGCCTGTGGGTCTCCTCCCTCCTAGACCTTGTTCTGAAGGGAGGAGCTGATTCTAATCTGATTTCCATAAGAGACTTGAAAGTAGATCAAGGGGCGCCCGGGTGGCTCAGTCGGTTAAGCCTCCAACTCTTGATTTCGGCTCAGGTCATGCTCTCAGGGTCATGAGATAAAGCTCGGTGTCGAGCCCTGCATTGGGCTCCGTGCTCAGCATGGAGTCTGTTTGAGATTCTCTCTCCCTCTGTCCCTCCCACTCATGCTCTCTCTCTTTCTCTCTAAGATAAATAAATAAATCATAGAAAGAAAGAAAGAAAGAAAGAAAGAAAGAAAGAAAGAAAGAAAGAAAGAAAGAAAGAAAGAAAGAAAGAAATCAAATTGGCAATTGGCATCAGGTCCTGATCTTCTATTTTTTGGAATAATATTTTCAATAAGGCTAGTTTTAGTTCAAATATACATTTTATAAAATAAGATTTTCAAATATTAGGCCTATACTTCTATCCCCCATTTTTCTATACCCTATGACAGAGTTACATAGTTTTGAGTTACTTGGTGTTTTATAGAAATTTACTCCCTTTGTCACACGGGGCTCCACTCTGCTTTGCTTAACAGTTTATTTTTTTCTCTTGAACATTTCTGAATATTCTCTCCCTTAAAGATTTTGTTACTTTTGGCAGAGCAGTGACTTCCAAAAGCTCAAGTAGGAAGAACAAAAGCCATCATAGATTGGATTTAACAAAATCCTATTTACTGAAATTGCCTATATATGGAAGAAGCAACCACTGTTCACATCTCTTCATTTGCTCTTATCAAAGCCATGTTCCCAGGGAACCACTACTGTTGAGAATGGCTCTGGCTTTTCCTTCCAGGAGGGACTGCTAAATTGCTCATAAATTCTAAGCATTTTTACTCCCTTTTAAGAGTCTCAGGCACCTCTGTCTTTCCACGACTCTTCTGTTTACTCTCCCTTTTTTCCTTCTTCCCTTCCTTTCTTCCTTCCTGTTTTAATTTTATTCAGTGTGGTTTTTAAAAATCAGGAATAGATGTTGAATTTTATTAAAGGCCTTTTTAGCATTTACAGAAGTAATTATATGATTTTTCTTCAGGTCTGTTAATATATGTGAATTATATTAATGGATTTCCTTTTATAATGAACAATCCTAGTCTCTGCTACGTAATATTTTCTTAATAGGATGTTGGATTCTGTTTGCTAATATTTTATTGAGGATTTTTGCAGCATATTCATTAAAAGATATTGGTCTGTAGTTGTGTGTGTGTCTTCATCAGGTTTAGATATTAATATTGTACTTGCATTATTAAAAGAACTTGGAATTTTCATTTGTTTCTCCTACGCTCTGGAGAACAAGCTACATAGCACTGGAATTACCTAGTCTATTAAGATATCTGGTAGAATTCCCCTGTGAAACCATCTGGGCTTAATATTTTCTTTTTTCTCTTTCTTCATTTCTTTCTTGGTAATTGTTCTGTTTAAGTTTTCTTATATCTCTACTGAAGTCAATTTTGCTAACATGCATCTTTCTAGGAAATCCTCCATTATATCCAGTTTTCAAATTTACTTTTCATTGAGTTGTGCAAAGTAATTAAATAATTTCTTTCCTACCAATCATATTCCCTGCATCCTTGTCAGTTCTTATTTTACATATCTGTGTTGTCTCGATAGATTAATAAATGGTTGCTTTGTTGATTTTCCTCAACAAAAGCAAAATTTTAGGGGAGTTTGGTGGGAGGATGGGTGAAATAGGTGACGGGGATTAAGAAAACGCATATCACAATGAGCACTGAGTAAAGTAGTGTTGAATCACAATATTGTACACCTGAAACTAATATAACATTGTATGTTAATTATACTGGAGCTGTACAAAAATAAAAAAATTTTTTAAAAAGCAAAATTTTAATTTATTAGTTCTATCCTTTTTCTGTTTTATGCTTCTGGACTTTCTTCCTTTATTATTTTTTTCTTTATGCTTGTTTGTTTTGTTGCTCTTTTCCTAGCTTCCTAGCAGGAATTCAACTCACTTGTTTTTATTAATTGAAGGGTATAAAACTGAATTTTTCTGTGATCATTGCTTTAATTGTATCTAAAAATTCTGACACATAGTGTTTCCACAATTTATTTTTAGAATTTCTGAAATTGATTTGTATTTCTTCTTTCACTCAATAGTTGTTTAATAGAGAATTCTTAGTGGAACTTTTTGGTTTTTTTATTTTATTACCAATTTCTAGTTTTATTGCTTTATTATCACAGAATGTTGTTTATATTCTTTCAATTTTGTGGAGGCTTTCTGTGTAGTATAATTGCTGGTCAATTGTTGTGAAGGTTCCACTTGAACATGAGAAGAAAGCATATTCTTTCTCGTTGTGTTCTTTTTTTTTAACTCTTTTTTTTATGTTATGTTAATCACCATACATTACATCGTTAGTTTTTGATGTAGTGTTCCATGATTCATTGTTTGCGTATAACACCCGGTGCTCCATTCAGTACGTGCCCTCTTTAATACCCAGATCCTCTGTATATTTACTTCCTCCCATTTCACCATCTTCACTGAAAGTGGTATGGTATGTGACTCTCTTCATCTCGGGGTTGTAAGTTGGAGCCCCATGTTGGGTGTAGAGATTACTTAAAAAAATAAAATCTTAAAAAAAAAGTGGTATGCTAACATCTCTTATTATTGGTATTTCTGTTTTTCCTTGCAATTTCCATCCTTTCCATTATATCAAGGGCTTGCAAACTACAGCCTATAGATCCATTGCTTATCCTTGTACATAAAGCTTTATTGGGATACAGCAATGCACATTTATTTACATATTGTTTGTGGCTGTGTTCCTGCTACAAAGGCAGAATTAAGTAGTTACAACAGAGAGGGTATGGCCTGCAAGCCTGAAATATTTACTGTCTTGCTTTTAAAGAAAGTTTGCCAACCCCTGTACTATATGAAGGTACGTGGAATGTTCACATTTATTGTGTCTTTGATGTGAATTGTGTCCTTTAGCGTTATAAAGTATCGTTCTTTGTCATGGCCACAATTCTACCTTATTTGATGTCAGGATTATAACTCTTGCTTTCTTTCTCTTTCCCAATTAACTGATATGTCTCTTCATTTTGAGTGTTCTGAATAACTTCGTTTTAGATATGTATCTTATATACAGCATGAGTTTGCTTTGCGATACAATTTGAAAATATTTTTGTTCTAATAAGTGAGTTAAGCTCCTTTATAAGTAGATCAATCTGTTAAACTTTTAAGGTAGAAACAAGTTTTGTATACATTATTTGAAGACTTTTGGAGGTACTCTAGCTTGTATAAGTAATGGTAACATTAATCCAAAATAGGTAAAGATAACTTAGCTTTTTGAGTTTTATACTGGAAAGTTGCTTTCCCCTGGAGGATGTGTGATCATAGTACCACTGATTAGCAATTTTGTTGTGATCTGAAAAGAAACTTAAAAGGAAAATGCAACTGAATTATTGCTTAAATTGATGGTAGTTGTCAGGGAAGTTAAAAGGCAGAGTTTACATCTTGGATAACTAAAAATTAAGCCAAATAGAAAAATTTCCCAAAAACGATTAGTTAGCTTACTCTTAATGCATTTTCTGCTTATACAGTTTTAGTACAACCACTTATTGATTCTGCTATTGGCTGAGCCCTGTTTTAAGGATATAATGACACAAAAATGATTTTAAGCAGTATCTCTCACTTCAGGAATCTGTTGTCTAGTTTGGACCATGAGGGATGTCATTTTCATATGTACTTTTTTTTTTTTCTTCTCAGAACTGGCCATTCTCCTTTCAATTAATCTGGGGTCTTTTGGATGTCTCCCTCTTTCTTTGGATGGCAACTGAGCTATATTGTGCTTTCTCTCATGCAGGGCAGCCACTGATCACAATGTGGATAATACAACAGAAATACTCAGGGAGTGGTTGAAAAATGTACAGAGATTCTATCACTATGTGGAGTGGAGGCCTATGGATGAACCAGAGTGAGTAGTAAGACAACATTTTGTGAACTTTATTTATCCCACTTCCCATAACCAGTTTTCCAGCCATTCAGGTGTCTAATCTTGGAGGCCCATGTGACTTCTTGGTTATCTCTGTATCTAGTAAGTTACAAGGGCCTGCCTTGTAACTGCCTCTCTTCCTCTTTACTCCTGCAGCCACCAGCCAAGTAAATAAATAACATATAAATTGCCACAGTATATATTTAAAAATATTGATATTATTTATTCATATTTTGAGTATAAGTCTTTCATATTTGGTGGATCATAGTGAAAAGTTTGCATACTTTTTATATATACTATGCTATTTTACTTATCATATTTTTATCATCATTCCATAGCAGTAGTTAAGGGGTTTCTTCGTTATTTTTATGACTGCATAGTATCCATTATATGGATGTACCATAATGATAATGAGTAGTCAATTCCCTACTGATGGGCATTTAGGTTACTTCTTCTCTTAACCATAGCAATTTCTTAGTTACTTCCATCTTCAAGATCATCCTACGTACCATACTGTCAAATCAACTTACCTAAAATGCTAATGACATGGTTTAATTTCTCTGTTAAAAGGACTCCAGTGGCTCTCCAGTACCCACAGAACAAAGTTCAAATACTTTAGACTTAAACACTTTTTAAAAATTCCATGAACTTAACACCAACAGCTATGCACCCATATCTCTTGCTTCTTCCCAAAAGAAAACTGCTTTGTCTAGAATGTTCCTTTTACTTTCAACCCCAAGCTGTTACCCATGCAGGTTTGTTCTCCAGGAAGGCCCTTTCTGTCTTTGTAACCAGCTCTTATGCCAAACCCCACCTACTACAGAAAGCTGTTCCTAATCATTCCAGCTACAAAGATCTACCTTTCTCTCAACACTTGTATTGCTTATTTCCTACATCATCCTTTTTGACATAGCAATACATGTAACTAACTTTGTTATTTAACTATGTAATTTATGCATTTCTTCGAAGTGATTGTTGGGTTCTTTGGCAGAGGTTACGGTATACAAATACTTCATATTTTCCCCCAGTGCTATGTTCTTGGCAGGCACTAAATTAATACTTGTTGCATGAACAAATGAGCAAATGACAACATGAATAAGTGTATTTAAAATGGACTATTGTAAATGTTCCCAAGGCTACTGCAATTCTAGCTTAAGAAATTGTAGAAGTAGAATAAATTGAGTTGCCTGAATTTTTGCCTAGGATAAATCATTTGTTGAAAGCCAAATTTGTATAATAATAATAAATGCCATTCCAGAACAGATTTTTTTTAGTCTCTTTATATATAATAGTTTTCTTATATATGTATATACATATATATTTCAAATCCCAGCATATGGTCCATATATCAAGCAAAATTTAACAATGAAATTTGAACACTATAAAAGATTTTGAATGCTTTTTTTGGAGTCTCTTACAATGGAATTGGGCCTAACTAGAACAGCCAAAAAGATTATGTACTTACCTTGCATCCTGGTAATTTTCTCTGTGCCCAGATCTTGACTAAATATATTATATGCCAAGGTCAGTGTGAAAAATATTAGTGAAGGCATTTTGGGGGCAATATATTGAGAAAAACAGGACTCCACTGATTTTCACTGAAGCAATAATTGGAAAGACATCTTAGAGAGCCCCTGTTCAGGACATAGTTTTATTAATCTTATTTATATAATTATATTTTCATAATTATCTAAGTATATATAGGTACTGTTAACACAGCTAGAAGAACTTGAAATAATGGCTCCTGAGACAGTATCAACAACCATACCACCTGGAAGCTTTCAGAAGGGTTCTTGAGGGTATGCCAACCCACTTGCTAATGTTGCCATGTGAGAGTCCTGCCCTGGCTGTTTCGTAGATGCTGATAGAGATTCCAATGACATTATGCATCCACTCCATGATCTCACTCTACCTGGGATAAATCGGTGTGTTAGGCTCTGTGGAATCCTTTACTGATACTTGATCAAGTAAATTTAACCTTTGGTTTTTTTTTCTGAGAAACTCATATTTTTATGCTGCAAAATTTTTAAATTTATTTGATGGCAGAATATATTAAAAAGTGCTTAGGAACATGAGCTTTGGGGCTATGCCTGGATTTAAATTCAAACTGTGCCCCTTATTAACGTGTAGCATTAGGCAAATGACTTAACCACTCTGCACCAATTTCCTCATCTGTGAAATGGAGAATACTAACCTTGTAAGGACTCCGTAGGTTCTTCTTAGAAGCCACTGAAATATTTCATATAAGGATTCTTGTGTACAGTAAGCCACGTTACTTAATCTCTGCTTCCTTATCTGTAATATGAGGAAGATGATAACAATAATAGTACCCACGCCCTAGGGTTGTTGGAAGTTGAAATGAGTTAGTGCATATAAACATTTAGGACAGAGCCTGGAATATATAGGCACTCAATAATTATAAGCTATTATTGTTATTGTTACTATTATTATTATTATTTTAGATCTTACTCTGATGAAATTGGACCAAAGCATTGGCCAGGCTCCCGTTTTGCCCATGTGATGAAACTACGGCAGGCGGCCCTTCGAACTGCGAGGGAAAAATGGTCAGACTATATTCTGGTAAAAAAAAGATGTTTGATTTCTTTACAACTGTTATCTAGAATGTGTCCAAATCAACTGTCCAAAACTTAAGACTGTGGGAGCTATTAAAACAACCTTTTGTTTGAGAACAAACTCCCCCACCACTTTTTCTACGTGGGGCTTGAACTCATGACCCTGAGATCAAGACCTGTCAAGACCTGAGCTGAGATCAAGAGTTGGAGTCTTCCAAAACAAACAAACAAACAAACAAACAAAAAAAACCAGTTGGAGACTTAATGACTGAGCCACCAAGGAGCCTCTCCTCCACTTTTTAATAAACACACAAGGGAAAACTTGGGGAACTTAATATTGGGGTACTTGGATTTCATCTCAAACCACTCTTGACATGCATTTTCAGTGAGTAAGTGAATAAACCCCTGGATTATTTGATCTCTTTCATGTAATAAAGATAAGAAACTCTGAATCCTTTCAGTTCATAGGGAATGCTCGGGAAGATTCTTTTTTGTTTTTTTAAAGATTTATTCATTTATTTTAGAGAAAGAGAGAGAGAGAGTGTGAGGGGGCAAAGGGGAGAATCTTCAAGCAGACTCCCCACTGAGCATGGAACCCAATGCGGGGCTCAATCTCACAACCCATGAGATCATGACCTGAGCCAAAACCAAGAGTCAGAGGCTTAGCTGACTGAGCCACCCAGGTGCACCACCCCCTTTTTTTAAAGATTTATTAGGGAAGATTCTTAATAACTCTTTAGAAATTTTTTTTCAGATATAAGAAAATAATTATATAAAAAAAGATTCAAATTAACAGCTCTGAAACTCCATTCCCTTTTGTTCCTCAGTGATTTGGGGGACTGTCATCCCTCTTTTTTTAAGAGACAATGGATTATTACTTACAGTAAATAGCATGTCTACCAGCATGCTTGTGGCACTTCCCCTGACCCCCACTTCTCACACAGGTGATGTCATGGGCTAAGATGGATGCTCTGCATCCAGTGGTTTTGTATCACAGCTGAGGAACCCAGAGTTCAGGGAACCTACTGCTTTTATAGCAAGCAGTCAACATACCTGCTCTTTCTCTGGGAAAATATGTTACTTCATCTTTCAAGGTTACCAGCTTCACAAACAACCCTGAGAAATGGCCCAGTTAAAGGAGCAGTCGGGACCTTGCAGCCCTGGCAGGGGAATGGCATCTTTTGCTTGGCTTCTTGATTGCTCCTAATTATGCTAGGTTCTCATGGAGAATTTCTCTCTGTGGAGAGGTTCCCTCACTTTTCTTAGAACTTTCGGAATGGTCCAGAAAAATGCTGGACTCAATGACTAGGAACCAGTGTTATCTTCTGTCCTTGTCCTCCAGGAACCTAACTTAATTGGAAAGGAAGACAGCTTCCTAGGCAGCAAGTTGCTACAGTCCGCATTTCCCTTCTGAAAGTTGACAGGGGCTTTTTTTCTTTGCAAGTTTACGGGAATCAAGTTCTCCATCTGTAGCCCCCAAAATCCATGTAATTCTTATGGTGAGCATTTTCTAGTACAATCCTAGAAATAATACCAATAAAGCAAAGACAATATGGTTTCATTAGACTTGTCAATATCTGCTCTCCATCACTAAACTCTGATTCCTAAAAGGAATACTTTTGACCTATGGCCATCCCCAGCTCATAACCACGACAAAAATCAGCCCAATAATTTATCACATGCACCTGTCCAATACAAATAATTTCATATATGTTTTCAAGTTGATGATATTTAACATTATAAAGCTGTTTAAATGTCATTGAAGCATACAGATGCTGAGTCCCAAATTTTTGGGTAAACAGATCGACTATCATAAGAATGAAAGCTTCTGATTATTTGTGTGTGTGTGTGGTAAAATACACACAACATAAAACCTACCATTTTAATTTTTTTAAGTGTGTAGTTCAGTGAGATTATTTATTTTATATAATAGAATCTATTGTTAAACTAGCCCTATACCTGAATCAGTGTTAACATGGACTTCTGCTAAGAGAGGGATAGGCTTCATGGGTTGATATAATGTACGTTCAACAAAAATTCTACTTGTAACATTAAAACAGCACTGATAAATCTGTTTTGGGCCATTTTGGCATTACTATGGACAACCTAAATAAGTCTGTTCATTTGTACCTAGGCTGGGCACTCAATGAGTGTTTTTGGATGACTCTTTAAGAGCTCTTGGGAGCTGTTAGTGGTTAATAACCACTAACCAAGGTGTGGGTTGGGTGCTGGTTGAGTGTGTACCCAGTATGGTAACATCAATTTACTGCTTGGTGCCTTATGCAGAGCTAGACATGTGGAAGTGAGTCTCAGTGTATTTTGCCTGAATGAATGCCATCTGGCTTCGACAAGTTTCAATAAGGAGAACATAAATAACTGGTTCCATGTCTCATGAGCAAGTTTCTGTGATCCTTCAGAAGTGCTGGGTTAGTCTTGAACCCAATACAGAAAAGTACTTTTTCACCTGACATTATCTTTTCTTTTCCTAGTTCATAGATGTCGACAACTTCCTGACTAATCCACAGACCCTCAATCTAATGATTGCAGAAAACAAAACCATTGTGGCACCCATGCTGGAGTCTCGGGCCCTGTACTCTAATTTCTGGTGCGGAATCACACCTCAGGCAAGTCTTCTGGCTGATGGATTAAGGCTATGGGTTTTAACAAGGCAGCCATTATGTCAACCATGGCCCCATTCACCTTTTTCCTTACTTCCTCCCTTGAAATGTGCATGTCATGGTGTTACAGGAGTAAGCATGTTCAGGAAAAGAGGAAAATCAATATCTAGTGCATAATCCAATGAGCTCTTTTATATTAATGAATTATGAAGAAAATATTCTAGTGAGCTTAGCCTTAGAAGCTTTAACTTAACCAATAAAGCTTACTGATATTTGTAATTTTTTCCTCTCTGATTCTGAGATTTAAAAAGAAAATAGGACTTTTTGGTATTAAAACATAAGAACACTATAGAAAAATTTGGAAATGGAAAAAAGTAAAAAAAAAAAAAAATTATGTGACTCCCCACAACTCTAACATCATGGATAACAGCATGTTGTTAGTAACTATATCATCAAGTGGCTATAAGGCAAATTACTTAACCTTTTTCTTAGTTTAAAATTATTCAAGTTGTTTGCAACTCTTAACGATTATAATGCCCATGATGATTAATGCACATTTTTCTGTATTTAATATTATGCCCTTAGGATAGCTTCTTAGAAGTAGAATTACTGAGTCAAAGAGTATACATATTTTGATGACCTTTGATATATGTTGCCAAATTTATTTCCAAAGACATCTAATAATCAGAGCTGCTATGGTAGCTGGCTTTTACAAAATTCAAGTGAAAAACAAAATTTTAAATTTCCATCATCTCTTTTCCATTCTAAAAATCTTCAAAGTCTAGAACTCTGTTACAGTGAATGTTTCTGGCTGACCGTATTTTTAATTCTCTGGTTAATAACTTAGATAAATTAAAGAGATAAACCGATCAGTGTAGTATATATCAATATGGAATAAAGCTGTGCTAAGGGGAAAAAAATGTCTCATGCTCAAAGGGCTAAATTTTGAGTCCCTCTTTTATGTTTGGTTTGGTTTGGGATGCAGAATGAGTCCAGTGGTGTGCTGATAAATGTTTAATAACTGGCTCTCCGTGGGGGGAAAAGCCATTTGCCAGCTTTGATGGTGTAGGTACTCTCACCATGTAAACAACTTAAATGTTGTCGAAGTGAGGGAAAGTTGAGTAATTGCAGTGTAGCCACTTGGTGACATAATGACAAAAGATATACAAAGCTACCGTCTGTGGTATTTTAGAATGGTGGGAATTAACATGATTTTTTTTTAACAGATTTTAAGCTACCAAAATGTCGACTGGCTTGCAAAATTTCTGAAAATTTAACAAACAGTAGCTTTAGCACACTGCTGGATGAGCCATTCCTCTTTGGTTACAATTATTTCCTGCAGTTCTGAGAGATCTTGAATGCATGTTATCCACATCTCTTTTAAGGAGACATTAAGTTCATATTTATAAAAGACATTCAGTTCCTTGGGGAGAGAACGTTTTATTAAGTTCATTTAAATTCATACACTCTCAGTTAGTAATCTGCAGTGTTTCACACGATAGAATCCACTCGAGGGCTGTTCTTAATGAGTTATGCGTTGACACCAGGAAAAAGGCCGGATTACCCTAGTAACTACAGCCTCTAAGTTTTTATTATTTCCTTATTTGCTTTAATCATTAAAAGCAAACAGGAGAAATGTGTGGTTCAAAACCACAGAGTAAGGAGGTTGGTTGTCCTGTGTGCTCATCCAGAAAGAACTTTCTGAAGGAGAATCCCCAAAAGAGTGTGGAGCAGTGGGGGCAGCTTCACCAGAATATTGAATAAGTAACTGCACTGAAGGACCTCTTTGTATGTTTAAGTACTACAGATTTCATTAAAAATATTAGCCAGATAATGTAGTAATTTTAGGATTAGCCAATATTTTTTTTCTTTTTTTTTTTTT